TGAATATTCTGAAGGGGACTTACTCGTTATCGTATCCAAAGTGACCAAAAACCTTGCTCTCATCCTCATGTTCTGGCATGCCTTCGTCGATGGTATCGTTGACCGCATACTCGAAAGGGCTCATCGCTGCCGCTGCAAAATGCTCGTATCCCATGTTTGGCGAGATGTCAGATGACCGTCGGGGACGAAAGTGCACGGAATGTGAGTTTGATCGAAACGGATAAGGCTGAGGCGCAGTAGTGCGCTGGCTTGCTGACGTGCTTGAGATGGAGCGGGACATTGCTGACCCAGTCGGAACCAAGATACTTCCAAATGAACCGCGGGACGCTCGCTGCAGGGATGTAGACAATGATCGCTGACCGGAAGATACTGATGAGTATTGCGAAGCCGATCGCGACATGTCACCGTTCACCGGAACTTGTGTGTAGCCGATGGGGCTGTGTACTGTTTGGTGTATATTGGCACAAGGCTGAGCCTCAGCCTGGTGAGAGATCGAGTGTCGTGGTGTGCCGCCTATTGACGAGCAAGAGAACATCGAGTCATGTCGATGAGTTGTCGTTGGCGAAAGCAGCTGCTGGTTGTTTCGATATTGTGAAGCTGATTCGATGGTGTTCTGACCGTTGATATCGACACCAATTCCTTGACCGTTGAACAGGTCACGCATATTGCCGCCCCCACCGAAGTATGTGTTGTTGTCCATGTGAGTGGAACTGCAGGATTGATATGTTGAGAAGTTGGCACTAAGAGGTAGTGCGAGGTAGCTGTGGGTGTATCAGGAAAAGTGCTGGGCTCGGATGGACTGAGGTTGAGTATAGACTAGAATTTTGGTGGCAGCGTGCATCAATATAGCTTCAAGTGAAGCGACTAGGGCAAGCGCCCTGAACTTTCCTTTTCGAAGGACCTCTGCAGCCCGCCTGCATGTATTGAGCCTCGAGGTGGCTGTTCGCACTGAGGCATACCAAATTCCAAGGCAAAGTAGGCAAATGGGGCTTACGCGGGTCTTTTGGCTGTGAGGGCTGCATGCAGACTGCGACCGCAGTCGATAGGCCGATGATCGTGATTGGACACATTGATTGCGACATGCGAGTACTATCTGCAAGGTGAGAATGCTGACGGAATGGCATGAAATAATAGTGGGAGAGGTATCTTGGAAGTAGCCGCACAATCACATGCAAGCAGAAAAGGGCAGGCGCACCCGACCGCCTCACCTTTCGTCGAGGTCCTTCAAAACCTAGCCATCACTCCCCAAACTGAATTGAATCAAGTTACTGTCATCCACACCATGATGAATCGTTAATTTCTTTTGCTCATCTTTCGACTATTGGTTGACGTCTCACGCCTTCACGCTCCACACCTTGATGCTCGCATCGCCTCCCGCCGAAATGACCTTGAGACCCTTCTCCCATGCGACACCATTGACGCCATCCTTGTGAGCGTTGAGAGCCTTGATACGCTTGCCAGGGTCTTCTGTGCTCCAGACCATGACATTGGTGTCCAGACTGCCACTTGCGGCGTAGTTCTCACTCTCGTCCCAGGCCAGACAGGTAATGCGTGCGGTATGGGCACTCCATCTGTCCGTGATGACCTTCCAGTCTCCGCCTACCTCAAATGCGTAGATCTTGCCGTTTCCAGCACCCACTGCCAGCTTCTTGCCTGAGGCAGAAAAGGCGAGTGCGGAGATGGGAGCTGTTGCACGGCGGAGCACTGTGTCGGTCTCCTTGAGCTCAGTGCCAGAAAGGGTGTAGATGTGTACTAGCTTGTCATCTCCACCAACAGCAACGGTAGAGCCGTGCGCTGCGATTGAGGTAGGGGCGAATTTGACCGGTAACGAGCTGACCTGGGCCCCCTTGGAGTATACTGCGATGGCATCGGTAGAAGGAATCAGCACGGTGCTCGATGTCGCGGCAACGCCCTTGGGTTGGAACTTGAGATCGTGTGCCTCGCCAGTGAAGATCTTGTCCGGAACGGACATGGAGCGTAATGTATCGTCCCAGCCAACACTGTACAACTCCGCCTCATTCTTGCTGTCGGAAGTCGTGATGCCGGCGACGTAGCTGGAATGTGCTGCGCCTTCGACCTTGTCAGCCAATCCAGTGGTGGTGTCCCATGCGAGGACTCGGCCGTCATAGCTTCCCGTGGCGAAGGTAGATCCAGCGATCGCAGCCGATGTAATGTTCTTCGAATGGCCCCGGATGATGCGCGTTGGCTTTGGATTGCCGTCGACGAGGTAGTTCAGGTTTCCTTCGAGATCCACACTGACGATCAAACCGTCGCTGCGGCCTGTGGGCCATACTACACCGACCTGCTGATCGGGTATACTAGCGACGCCTTCCTCGCCCATCCTCCAGGTCTGAATGTTCTTGCCTGCTTCCGGGTCCCATATCCGGACCGTCTGATCCGCACTGGCTGTGACGAACTTCTTCGAGTCCTTGGACCACGACACACCGAAGATGCTGCCGGTATGTACGCCCTCGCCAATCTGTCCCTTTGCCTCGCCGGTCTTGCCATCGTATAGCCATATGCGCTTGTCGGCGCCGACGCTTGCGAATACGGAACCGTCCGGGGAGAAGGCGGTGCCGAAGACGAAGCGGTTGTGCTGTCCTCTCAGACTGGTGTTGAATTTGAAGGGGGCGCCGTGATAGAAGACCAGGCTGGTATCGTCGGAGCCTGTGGCGGCGCGGAGGGGTCGTTGTTGGCGGATAGACACGCAGTTGATCTGTGACGAGTGGCCGGAGATTTCGCCCACGCTGTTGCCGCTGTCTGCCGTGATGCAGTGGCCGAAGCGCTCCTTGCCGTCGCCGACAGCTATGATGCGCTGCGAGTCGCCATCCCACGCCAAGTCGTTGATGCGGCCTGCGATGATGTGGTAGTCGCCTGCACCGCGTCAGCTCCCTCGCTCTATGTCCTGCTATGCCTCACCCACCTTTTGTAGCTCCTTCACCGGCGCAGTCCCACACCTTGACGGTACCCGAGACATCTCCACTAGCAACGTAGAAGCCTGAGGGCGAGAAGCGGGCGACCGTCGTCTGTGTCGTGTGCTGGGTGTATTGTTTACTAACAGCCGGGTCGTCGATGGAGCGCAGGAAGACGGATTTGCCTGACTACATGTCCAATTAGCTCCGCGAAAGCTTCGGATAGTCGGGAGACTCACGGCATAGGCAATGCGTTCGCCCTTGGGGTCCGAGGACAGCGGTGTTGCCTGTCCGCGCGTTGTCGAAGGGGACGCTGCCCAGATGGCGTCTGTTTACCGTTAGTAGCTGCTGCGAGAAGCTATCTGGGAGCTCATACCTGATACTAGAGACATTGTGCGCGCAGTTCAAAGGACAGTGAGTAGCAAAGGGAATTGGACACGTCAATTGCAGAGGATGTCTGCCTGTAGCTGCCAGCGTTGGCGGTGGCCTCTGCGTCGTCACCGCCTACGTTTCAGCGACCAGCCACGAGTCGCGGGGCAGGTGGGGGTGGCTCCTTCATGACAGCTCACCTGGGGGTAGCTACTGAACATCTTCACATGTTACTCCAGGTACCAGCTCTACATGTCAGCACCCATGTTCCGCGTTCCTTTTGCTGATAATCCAGACTTGCTACATGCTTCAGTCAAATCGCATTCCATCATCGAGGCCAGGCCTAGAACGAAATACCGCCGAGATCACTATGTAAATAGCTCCTTCGATCAAGGATACATCCCAGAACCACATGCGCATGCTTGCAATTCACCGCTGACTGCATGGAAATATCTGGTTGCGAATTGAAGAGGCTGGCAGACCAAACAACCTTGGAATGCCCCAGCAGACCCTTGGCGCACGTCATTTCCGCGCGTTGCAAGTCGCGTTGAGATGTCTTCAAGTCTGAACTGATATACAACCGCATCCTGCATCATTGACTCTCTGTCTCGCACATCGCCCATTCTGGACGCTATTCGCTTCCCTCGTTCGCTGTCGCGTCGTTCGCTGTACAACGTCATCACCCGGGAACCCGGCATCCGGTAGCCTGCATCCCCATCATCATCATCACCATTCTCATTGCGGAAGAGCAAAGACATCAAACACCATCAACATGTGTCTCATGCGGTCTTACGAAACGCGCGGTCGTACCGTCATTGAACCACCTCCCCGACGAGGAAACTACACGTCCCATACACCAGCCGGCGTGATGCGTCTGCCGCGCGAATGGCGCCGGACCTCAGTCGAGAGCTTCAGCGACGACGGCCGTTACGTCGAGTACAGGTTCGTAGTAACTTCAATGGCACCATTGGTTGTCTCACACTCACATCATCCAGGCGATCGCGATCTCGTCCTCGTGCTATTGAGTACGTCGAAGAGCCTCGCATACGTGCAAGGAGCCGTGCGAGGAGTCGGGCGAGGAGTGTATCCAGGCGACGCATTAGCGACGTTGAGATTGTCAGGCCAGCAAGGACCAGCTACATTGACCCACGTGGAAGTGGTTATGTGGACGAAAGGGTTACGAGGCGAAGTGTCAGCCGCGTGAGACATTGAGGAGTCACATCTCTGCAGACGAGAAAATGAGGTATGTGTGATCACAGAACAGAGCAAGCTCATGCGTGCTAACACGCTCAGTTTCTGAATTGGATATGTACATATGGGATACATAGAAGTTTTGTAATTACGAACGTTTAACTTTCAACAAACCAACAATGCTTGCGGCAAGAAATGTCCCGTGTTGCGTACCAACTTCTTGAAGCCTACACACTTCGAAGATCATCCCTTCAGGCCTAACACAACCAGCCATCTAATAGCTCAACAGCAATCTATGATGGAAATATTTCGGAAACTCCCATCCGGAGATAAATAACAGTGTACATCTTAGGGCGTAGCAACCCCTGCCGCTAGCCGCTTCCGAGCTGTACTCCAAGGTGGGGCGCTATATCCGACTCATAGCTAAACTTCGTCATCAGATTTTGAGTCACGATAAGGGAACGACATACAAGTCTTTGAAAACAACGCTCATTCTCACCAATCTACTCATCGTCCCAATCTTACACCATGGCATCCAACCCCATGCAACGATGCTGCATCATCGGCGCAAAGCACTCAGGCACACCACAAGGCCAAATCAAACACATCGACAACAGTACAACCTCCCTCCATCCCCATCCCTTAACCCTTCCCATCTAACCCACAAACAAGTCCGCACATACACCACCTACCCCCCCAACAACCCCTCCCCCTCAAACGCCATCCTCATCATGACCGACGTCCTCGGCATGGACTTCCCCAACACCCAACTCATCGCCGACCAGTTCGCGCAAAACGGCTATCTAACCGTCATCCCCGACGTCTTCAACGGGAGCGAAGTGCCGTTTCCGCCTCCGGAGTCGTTTGACTTGCAGGAGTATGTTGAGACGGTTATGCCGAAGACTGATACTGTGGATCCTATGTTTGAGACGGTGATTAAGTATCTGAGGGACGAGTTGGGGATTAAGAGGTTGGGCGGTGTGGGATATTGTTTCGGTGGGAAGTACGTATGTCGGTTTTTGAGAGAAGGGGGGTTGAGGAATGGGGGGATTGACGCGGGGTTTACTGCGCATCCTAGTTTTGTGGATAAGGAAGAAGTTAGGGGTATTAGGGGGCCGTTGAGTATTGCTGCTGCAGGTATGACTTTCAATTGTGACATTCGCGCTTCATTCCTTCCGTTCATTCCATTCATCAAACCTACTCCAAAAAACCAAACTGTCGAGACAAAGACATGAACAAAAAGAACGCGCTAACGATACCAACAACAACTCTAGAAACCGATTCCATCTTTCCAGCCGAGAAGCGGCGCGAGACAGAAGATATCCTCAAAGAGCACACCGTGCCGTACCAGATGTTCCTGTATTCGGATGTTGAGCATGGGTTTGGTGTTAAAGGGGATTTGTCGCATGCGAAGGCGAGGTTTGCGAAGGAACAGGCTTTTTTGCAGGCGGTGGGGTGGTTGGACGAGTATGTTAAGAAAGGGGCGGAGGTGTAGGGGACTTTTCGGGGAGGTTGGGGAAGTTCGTGAGGATTTTGTCCGGGTGCAGGATGGGTGTTTCGTCAGCTGAGTGTGCGTCTTGGAGGGCGGTGTCGTATTCGTGTAGTGTACATTTGAACCTGGTAATTTCGTCCGGCCCGTTGAGCTGCCCCGCGCTCTCAGCCGTGTATTTCTCTAGCCAAAAGTCGCCGCTCATCTCGACATCGATGCTAGCATCCGAAAAGTCGCAGTACATCCGTACGAAGTCAACAATGGTGTCGATCGAAGCCAAAACTGCTGAGAGAACCCAGGCGCAGAAGCTGATGGCGAAGTACGTGAAGAGGAACAGAGTTATCAGAAGACAACCCCAGAGATAGCCTGTGAGGATACTGTCGAGTACTTCATTGGGTTGCGGCATGGATGTCGATGGCTGGAACATGACCGCTTGGTGGGGGAAGAGAGGAGGCATGGTCGTGAGGTAAGACGGCAGAGTAGGTTCGGGTGACTTCTCGGTCGCGAGGCAAGGGTAAAGCGTGCTGACGACAATGTACCGAGTGTAGCAATGTCGGTGGTTGGAGTAAGGCTAGCTGAAGACGATTTACCGTTCGTAGCAATATGAGAACCCAGCAATGGTGGGTGTTGGACCGCGATGGTTGAGGTCGGGATTTGTTTGTGAGAACATGCGTGATGGCTAGAAGGCTACAGCTGCGCTTGCGTCGTCGTCGGGAGTCGCGCCTTACGATCCAGGTCCATGCATGAGCAATCCTCATATTCAGTCAACGAACAGAAAGTGCTACCGTCGGTTCAAGAAGCATGTGCAAACACACCACTATCAACCACCGTCTTCACCACCCGCGCATCCTCATTCAAACTCCCCTCTTCCATCTTAACTTTCGACGCCCACGGCGGCTCACCATCCTCATCAAACTCCGCCCACTGGAAAAAACTACAACTCTCCCGACCCGGCACATAACCCGCATGGCACATCCACATATACCTCCCCCTCGACTCCCTCTTCCTCGTCGCACACCTCAACACAGTCGAAACACCACACTTGCATTTCGGCGTATACCTCGGATGAAGGCTATCCTTATAGAACCGATACGTGACATTAATTCGCTTGTTCTTCGCCAGCGGATGAGGATCGATAGCCTGGGCCGGCGCAATCGAGTGCTTCCATTCTTCTTGCATCTCGGCATGCATGACCAGGAGCGAGTTGTGTGGTAAATGAATGCTGATTTGGCCTTGGGCGTCCGCGAGAGAACCGTCGTCTTTTCGGTGCTCGTCGTCTTGAGCGACGGTCTTGCGGACCCGGAATTCGCGCGCTACGCCGAGGCTTAGACTGCCGATTACGGCTCGTGGACCGAGGTAGGTGAGTTGGTCGGCGTGGTATCCGACGCTTTCTTGTGGTCCGTCGTAGCAGTTGACGAAGGCCGTGTTGGCTTTCCATGGGTGGGGGGATTGGTACTTGAGTTTCTTGCCGTTGGGGTAGAAGTCGCGGATTCTGCGTTGGATTTCGCGGTTGACGGCGTCTTCGACTTGGGGGCATGCGTTGAGCATTTCTGGGAGGCTTTGTCGGACATCCTGGGTGGAATTAGCATCTTGGTGGTGTTCCTTGGAAGCGGTTCTTACCTCGATCTGGCCACCGTTGTAGATGTATTCCGTCTTTTGTCGTTCCGCCTCTTCTAAGCTGTTGACGTAGAAGGAGTACGTGTGTGGGCTTACAACAACTCTGTCGAACAGCTTGAACTCGTACCTGTCGTAGGTCGACGAGGCGTCCAGTAATTGCGAAAGCAGTGCATCCGCTTGCTCTACCGGAAGGAAATTGTGTATGATTGAACAAGGCGTATGTACTTCGATGTCTTCTGGGCTATAGAGAAATAGTGTCTTGCCCTTTCTCACAAGTGGCTTCTTGTTCAACGTGCCGTTGGCGGGAGCAATGCGATACGAGCTCAGAGATGATTGATAGCCCACTGTCGATGATGCGGGTCGCTTGCGTGGGGAAGTAACTCGAGGCCGTGATAGACACTCCGAGGCTTGTTCAACGGCCCCGTCAGCAGCGAGCAATGCTTCAAGCAGAGTCCCTTCATCAACTGTAGGATGTAAAGATGCCAGCAAGGCCAACTTGAAATCGGTAGACTCTTCTTCTGGGTCTCTAGCCTCTGAAGGCCGCTTGCCTGTACTCGCCACGGACCTGGGCGGCCCCTCATCCCACTTCCTCTTGCGCGACACGAACGCGTCCATACCGACTGTGGTGGGTGAAAATGGCGCGCATAGTCGCATCAACAAAGTGAAATGGCTTCCTCGACAGTGGCGACTGGCGTAAAAGAAGACGCGCTGTCACGGGACAACCTCCGGCGCCACACCAGCCCCGCCAGAACCCAAAGGCGCCTCGGTCAATCGACACCTCGTCATCCGCAACCATGCTGCAGCACAACACCAACTCCACGTCCCGGCGCGACATGACGCGCCGTACCATACCTATTCTCCACGCGCCCTAATCCCAAATCCCACCCCCACCTTCACCACCCACGATGCTCGAGTTCCGCACCCAAGGCTTCAACGGCTACTCGGTCAAATACAGCCCCTTCTTCGACTCGCGCATCGCCGTCGCAACATCCGCCAACTTCGGGCTCGTCGGAAACGGACGCCTGTACATACTAGGCCTTACAGCGAATGGCATCGTAGCCGAGAAATGGTACTTCCATCACCTCTCTTCCACTTTCCACCTTACAATCACATGCTAACCCACCCGTTCCCCCAGGTTCGACACTCAAGACTCACTCTTCGACAGCACCTGGTCCGAATCACACGAGTCCCAACTCCTCACCGCGGGCGGCGACGGCTCAGTAAAGCTCTTCGACATAAACGTGCCTAACTTCCCCATCGCATCCTGGCAAGAGCACGCGCGCGAAGTCTTCGCCGTCCACTGGAACCTCGTGTCCAAAGACACCTTCCTATCCTCATCCTGGGACGGCACAATCAAAATCTGGAACCCAAACTCAGATGCGAGTATCACAACGCTGCCAACGCATTCATGTACCTACAGTGCGAGTTTCAGTCCGCACAGTCCGAGTGTGCTGTCAAGTGTGAGTAGTGATAGCCATTTGAGGGTTTTCGATCTGAGGACGCCGGCGAGTGCGAGTAATCATCTGACGATGAGTGTGCCGATTCATCAGCCGCCGAAGGCAAGGATGGGACATGCGCCGGGCGTGGGTGTTGCGCCTGCGGAGGCGTTGACGCATGATTGGAATAAATACCGGGATACTATCGTTGCAACCGCAGGGGTGGATCGCGTGATACGCACATTTGATATCAGGATGCCACAGCAGGGGCCTGTTGCTGTTTTACCAGGACACGAGTATGCGGTTCGGAAGCTGAGTTGGAGTCCGCATTTGAGCGATATATTGCTTAGTGCGAGTTACGATATGACGTGTCGGGTGTGGACGGATGGGAGTGCTATGGGTGTGGGGAGTGTGAAGCAGGAGAATATGCTGGAGGATCCGATGTTCTATGGCGGGGGTAGGGAGATGGGCAGGATGGGGAGGCATACCGAGTTCGTTACGGGTGTCGATTGGTGTTTGTTTGGCGCGGAGGGCTGGTGTGCTAGTACGGGGTGGGACGAGAGGGTCATGGTATGGGATTGCCGGGCTATCATGCAATGAGATGACGACGTTCCATGCAACATGCGCTCGACACTGAGATATATCTGCTCTCCATTCCCTACAAAAGTAACAATGCTCAGCGAAATACATCGCGAGTCATAATGCCGACCACCAACTCAACGAGACAACAAGCAAAAGACAGGGTATCATCCCATAGCTACACCCAGACACCGAAATGCAAATCCCACATGCGCCGCCCAAATGCCGAAGCTCACAAACGCCTCTATGCTCCTCCCTCTATCATTCGCTTTCATGACCTTCCTCCAGATCGCCGAGGTTCAGAACATCGTCAAGCGCGTAGTCCATCTCCTGCATGTCTTGAACGCTGCCTCCTTGCCATTGCATGCCCACGTCATCGTCGATCTGCACCGGGTCGCCAGAGTCGACTTGAAGACCTTCCTATAGATCGCCGAGGTTCAGAATATCGTCAAGCGCATCGTCCATCTCTTGCATATCTTGCACACTACCTCCTTGCCAATGCATGCCCACTTCATCATCAATCTGCATCGGGTCGCCAAAGTCAATTGTCCAAGTCTCGCCGTTGAGGTCGTGCTTAGTTCCATTTGCAATGCCATTGATACCATTCGTGAGAGCCCCATTCGTAAGCGGTTTCGCGGGCGCATTGTAAATGTCCTCGATGCCGTGGGTGTCCAGAAACCTCGAGTTCATTATCGATCCCGCAATCAGTGGTGTTTGTCCGAGGTACGAGTCTCCGAGTTCCAGCGCGAGTCTCAGGTCCTCCATACATAGGAGTTTCCTCTTTCGTCGCTCTTCTGCTTCGACGGGGAGTTCGCCTCCGATGCCTCGGGCCAGCTCGCCGCGGTCTACTAGTCTTTCCTCTCGCGCGAGCTTCTTCTTGAATTCGCCTGTGCGCACGTATCCAGGACCGTTACTGCTCACTTTGCCTAGTAAGTTTGCTAGGGCTTCTTTTATGTATGTCTCGGTAGCGATGTTGAGGTAGTCCGGGCAATCGGACGTATGGCCCTGAGGCAGCCCGAACTCGTAGCATATCGGTAGCAGGCGGTAGGATATTGTCGTTGCGGTGGGGAATTCGTGCGTCTCTGCGTAGAGGGCCGAGGTATACCGTTTGCGAATCTCGAGTTCCCAGTCTGAGACCAAGTTGTTAGCATCTCAAGACGTAAACGAAAAGTATATCAAATTTCATGCACGTACTCGTCTTTCCAAATCCACCGCCCTGGTTGCTGCTCGGCCCAACATCGAGCTGCTTCGCCCGTCTCGCATCAACATACTCCTGCACCGGCCCAGCAGCACCCGCGCCCAAGCCCTCCAGCCCCGTACTCAGCGGGCTCTCGCCTGCCGGTATGCCCTTCAGCCTCTTTCTCTCCCTCCGACTCAATTGCATGACCTCGTGCTTGAGTCTCTTCTCGCTCTCGTCCCCTGTCCCCTTGACCGTCCCGCTAGTCGGCTTATCACTACTCGACACCCAACTGGCGATGCCTGCTTCGGGCAGGTCGCGCCATATGTTAGCGTATATAGCCGTGAAGAGCGCATTGTGCGCGTGTTCGAGGGCGGGCGTGGTGAGGATCTTGGACAGCTTGTGGGACAGCTCCTCCTGGTTGAGGTTGCCGAGGAGAAAGAAGGAGAGGGCTTTCTTGTAGATGGTCCAGTCTGCATCGCTTATGGAGCCTTTGACTGCGGTGTACAGGGGCTCGACGTCGACACGGGGGGCGCGCGGCGCGTTGGGCTTCTTGGTGAGGTCCGTCTGGAGAGATGTGAGGCTGGGCAGGGTGCCCGACGAGAGCGTCGGCGTGGTGGAGACGTTCATGTCATTGGGCCGTATGGTGCCTGCCATGATGGCGGTGGAAGCGCGCCGTGGTGGCGCTCAATGCGTCGTGGTGTGCGCGTTGCGAGGTCGTCGCGCGTTGGACAGATGCGCGTGCGGGCTGTGGAGAAGGCTGAGGGCGGCGGGAGAGCGACGCCGGGGTCTGCGCGACGCTTCAAGAGTGCCAGCGGGGTCGCACGCGTATGCAATGATGGTCCCCGATGACGGGCAAGGAATGCAGGCGTTGTGCGGGGCCTACGCTGATGGACAAGCATGCAGTCGTGGAGAGCGTGAGGTCAGAGCTCGGGGGTTTGCGGAGTTGATGCTGGGGCAGCCTAACAACTTCCACGAGCCCCATGAAACCTCCACCACATGCACCCTTCCTTTCGGTCCCAGAACATTCAATGTAAATTTCATTCGCTATGCACTTATATACTAACATGATTCGTTTTCATATACGCTCCGTCCCAATGCTAGTGCAGTCGCTTTTAGGCCATGTACACCGTCCCATCCGCTGTACGGTATCGCTAGTTTTCACCAAACACATCCCCCAACTCCACTTTTCCTACGCTCCAAATCTCTCGCTCGTCTTCCATCTCGTCGCTCGACAAGCCGAGACCGCCTGCTCCACCTTCGGCCTCTTTCCTTTCTCTGGCTTGCCCAGCTAGCCTCAGGGCAACCCTCTTGAAGTAGTCGCCCATGCTGCGCTGTTGACCAGCAGACAGGCTCTTGCCAGGTCCAGCCATGTACTTGTCGAACACGGCCGTCTCTTCGTCCACAACCGAGAAGATGGCAAGGAACGCCGCCTCAGCCGACAGCTTGACTGGAATCACCGGATCGCGCACCGATGCGAAGACCACCGGTATGAGGAGCGGGATGTGCGGACGGATCAATTCGTTGTGCTCTCGAGCAACTGTACGAAGCACCACAAGCGCCAACCGCCTCGTGTCGACGGGATGGCCAGGCTCCACTACTGGCGCAAGAGCCTCGAAAATGGGCTTGGTATGGTCGAAGCTCTTGCTGCTCTTCTCCGACAGTAGGTATTTGCCAGCGGCGAGGATCGAGTTATCCGAGATGAACGGTTGCGAATGTCCAACACCCTGGCATATAACGTTCACAGTCTCGTCTGCGAACGATTCTGTCAGAGCCTCGGGGGCATCTAGCAGAATGGCATTGAGCGCCAGTACAGAAGATTTGTTGAAGTGGGTCGTAAGCACGCGAGCCTTGAGAAGACTGGACGCGACGTCCTCTGGAAGGCAGCTGATCAGGGCTCCTAGAAGTCGAGCGTTTGTAATTGCCATTGCATCTACCCCATGTTAGTCACACTAAGCAGGATCAGAATCAGTCTAAACTTACCGTTAGAATCATCGCTCTCGTTGTCGATGAGACCTAGGATGGCGTTCCTGCTTGCTTCGCTCATGTTCTTGCCCGCCTTGCTTACGACCTCAAACAAGGCCTTCAGCATAGCCGTCTTGACATTTTCGTCGCTTGTCTTGGATCCCGTCACCAACTCAGCGATGAGTGGGTCCACCCTTGGTGTAAGCTTGATCAATGTACCAAGAGCCTTGGCTGCTCGCGCTCGCAGTACATCTGAGGATGTATCGGCAAGCGACTTGGCGAACGTACGCTGGAGTTGGGGCAAGAAGGGCTTGAGGAAGGTCGGGATCTTCTCTAGCAGGTTGTTGAGTGTGAGCAGAATAGCTGCCTTCACCTCGACGGAACGCTCTGTGACCACACGAATGAGGGGTCCTGTAATCTGAGTAACAAACGGCTGGAGTGACTTCGCGCTGGTGCGGTCGATGACGTCGGAGATGGCCAGAGCAGCTTGAGTTCGCTGGTCCACTGAGCCGTTCATGAGACCCTGCAGGAAGATAGGCAGGATGGCGTTGATACCCTTCGGCAGTGAGAATCCAGGGAGGTCTGCACCAGCAACACCAACTTGGTTGAGTGTTTGGCGAGTGGAAATAACAAGCGACTCCATCTCTTCCTTCCGCAGACGCTTGCTTGTGAGAGTGCTAAGAGCAGTCCATGCAGCCTTGACGACTTCTGTATCGCTATCGCCAAAGGAGATGAGAAGTGCCCGGATGAGGTCAGGGTAGTATCTCGAGAAATCAACATCTGCCTCTGCGAAGAATTTGGCCAGGTGAATATCGGCACGTGCGCGTCTCCTCTCATCGTCATGTTTCGACAAGGCAAGCATGACGCTCATGGCCGTATTAAGACCATCGAACTCATCCACGGACAGAAGTACCTTGTCAAAGGACGTCTCGAGTTCTGATCGGAGCTCTTCATCCTTGGAAGCAATGACATTGTCCATGATGGTGTTGAGGATGTTGGGCAGTCGTCGGGTCATAGCGGAGCTTGCCACCTCAGCCAACGATGCAATAGCGCGGGCATTGAAGGCAGTCATAGGCGAAGTGAGAAGTGTTGGTAGGAGATTTGGTAGAATGATGTTTGATCGTTGTTGATCTGTGAGGAGGGTGAGAAGCGCTGACAGCGCGTTCTGGGCATCGTCGTCCGAACGCAAAAGGTTGAGCAGGTAAGGCAGGACCTGGTCGACAGCCCTCTTGCCAAAGATTTGTTGTAGAGCATCGAAGGCTTCCGCCGCTGCTTCTCGCACATCCGCGTTGGGATCCACCAGAGCAGTTCGTACAACTTGGATAAGAGTCTTCTCGTAGTCCTCGAGTTGCTCTGGCGAAGCAGCTGCGATGATTTCGCGAAGGGCGATGCAGATACCCTGCTTGGCGTCTGTATCGGTGGTATGTAGACCTTCCTCGAGGGTAGGCAACAACGTAGCAAGTACACCGTCTCCAGCTTTGCGAATGAGCTCTCCCAGCGCGTTTCCGGCGATGACCTTCTGCTCCATGTTTGAGCTTGCCAGACGGCGGATGAGAAGTTGAGTAAGCGTAGGAATAAGCTCGCGCAGAGTACGAGGACTGGCCACCAATGCCTTCCATACGTTGATGGAGGCTGTTCGTACGAGGCCAGACGTGTCGAATCTGCAAATGTATAGAGCAGACAAGACCTTGTTGCGCTTCTCTTCTCCGAGGACTTCGAGCAGTGATTGACCAGCCTCTTTCGCGCCCTCTTCGACTTCTTCCTCTTCCACCTTGCCGCTGATACCTGTGAGATTGAACAGGAGATCTCCGACAAGCTCCACGGAACTGAGACGAATCCTGTAGCTGTCGTCTGCGAGACCTCTCTCAAGCTCTGGTAGTAGCAGGTCGATTGCCTTGGTAGCAAAGTTCTTGACCAAGAGACGACCAGCTCGCAGGGCAGTTTCTCGGATCGATTCCACTTCGTCCGCAAGACCGCCGAGAATGGGAGGAATGATCTTGCTGAGGTAGTTGGCGAAACTGTTTCCAAAGCAAACTGGCAAGAAGATGAACAGAGACATGAAACCTTCGCGGACAGAAGCCCTGCTGCTGGCCACGTTCTGGAGGATGCTTGGCAGTGTCTCTTCCAGACGTCCTGTTCCAAGACCTGCAAGAACCTCTGACAGAGCTTGGGCAGAACCAAGTCGATCTCCTGCACCTGTATCGGATTTGAGGGTAGACATAAGGCTTGGAATAAGATCTGGCAGAGCATCTTCTCCAAGCTTTTCGACGAGCGAACCGAGCGCTTTTGACGCGGTAGCACGTGTAGCCGGTACAGGGTCCACGATCGCAACCCGTAGTCCAGCGACCAAGATTGGCAGATGGGAGGTGAGGTCCTTCCTTTCCGAGAGGTATGCCAAGCTGCCGATGATTTGGGAGGACTTCCGCTTGGTTCCAGAGCGATCGCCCAGACCACGCTCCAGAATGCGGACCACGAGAGCGAGAGAAGGCGCGTCGAGGAAATGCGCGAACTGGATCTTGATCAGTGCATCGAGGGCATCGTCTGTGTACTTTGTCGGGTCGCTGAGAGCCTTCAAGATGATGTTGACGACGCTCTTGATCTCAGGATTGCTGATGACTTCACCGAAGCGCTGCAAACTTCGGTTCGCTGAAGATCGGACTTCTTTGTGGCTGTCTGTCAACACAACGGTGAGGGGTGGAATGATATCGGGCAAGCTAAGAGCCAGCTGGTTAGGATCGAGATATGCCATGGCTCCCAAAGAGTCACAAGCACCCTTCTTACTACGCCACTGATCCTCATCAAGACCTTCCAAGAGTATTGGTAGAACCTGTTTGACACCAAAGGAACTGAGCGTGGAGAAGCAAGTCTTGGCAGCATCGAGACAGGCTTCTCGGACGTCTGCACTGGTATCGCCGAATCCAGCAAGCAATTGAGGCACTAGCTGGATGACATATGGTTCAAACAAGCGACCGAGGATCAGCGAGAAGAGCTCGTATGCCAGGTATACTCCCTGCCTTTGGTTTATGTCTTTCTTGTTCTCGCTAGCTCCTTTGAGAGTGGACATGATCCGATGTTCTTTGAGCAGACCCAGACCCTTACCGCGTACGACACCCGCCAGACCATAGGCAGCACCGCGACGCGAGGCATACTTCTTCGAAGTGAGTAGTTGATCCATCATCTGATTGATGTAATTCGACACCTCTTGCTCGGAAGTACGGACCAGCGGTGGCAGACATTGAGCAACGGCATATTGCACTGTCTCGGAAGGCGTACTGAGAGTTGCCAACAGTCTCTGTACGACCTTTGGAACGCGCTCATCGCCAGCCGCAAGATGACGACCCAGTGCACCATAAAGGATGATGACTGCTTCGTTGACTTGATCGTACATCTCCGACTTTCGGTCAGGCGCTTCAAGAGCGTTCTCGAATAGTTCCATGAGAGGCTCGACCTTGGTCTGCGCTTTGACGGTGATGACTGAGGTCGCAGCTTCGATCAACTCATCTCTGACCGCGGGACTTCGGTCTCCTAAGGGGCCCTCGTAGATCAGGAAGTTTAAGAAGTCTACAAGATCATCGGGCTTGAAACCTGGTGTCATCTCCTTGAAGGCAAGCGCAATACCGTCTCTGCTCTCCCAGGGATCGCGAAGATCGACCTTTCGTGGCATGCCGTACTCATCACGCTCTGGGACGCGTGGCTTGGCCTTTTCGGCGTAGGTCTCGCGCAGTCTCCGTAGAATGTCGTCAAAGGTGTCAGGGAATTTGGTAATGATTTCGCCAATAGCTCGTGCGGTTGCCCTTCTGAGTGGCTTGTCGAGAGAGTCCAGATAAGGCAGCATCTGTACGCCAGCATCTGCTTTGAGTTCTAGGTAGTTTTCGTCCCAAATTGTTCGGGCCAGCTCAGCGTTCTCAGACTCATCGTCGTGACAAGCGATGAAGATCTCTTCACTGAAGGTCAGGTCGTTCATGTCGAGTTCAGCGTCAATGGCTTGCAAAACCGCGGTTCGGACGCCAGTCTCCGGCACGATGGTACCACGCAGCAAGGCGCCCAGCTCGTCATTGGTAATGTTCGGGGCCAGTCCGCTAGCGAGATTGGTTACGCAATCCTTGATTATCTTGTAATGCTGCTGGTATCTCTGCATGGACCACACCAGAATCTCCAGTAAGGCCTTGCGGGGAAGACGAGGGTCAGTGCCTTTGATGTGTTAGCAAAGTATCAGTGTTCGTGCTTTGAGAACTCACAGGAGTTGGTGTGGAAAGTCAACACTTCGATAGCCAGGATCAGCTGCTCGTCAGCTTCTTCGGGCGCAGACTTGCCAATACCACCTTTTTCTAGTACAAGGAAAAGCAGAGGGAAGCAGTACGCCAAAGATACTGCATCGAGCGGCCTCTGTTCGCTCAAGAACCGGAGACGGTAGAGGACACGTGTTACCAGATCTAAGATTCTCAGTAATGTCCAAAGCTGAACTATCGGTGGGGATGTACTTACCACCAAGATCCTCGTCTTCGTACTCGCTAGCAAGCTGTATAGAACCGATTGTTCGCAATACTGCTACACCAATAAATGGTCGCATCATGCCTAGACGGTTGGATACCCGCTCGGAGCACGAGATCAAAGCAGTCGCTGGAACGTCTCCCAGCAGGAGACCAGCACCAGCACGAATGGCTTGGATCAAGAGATCCACGGCAGGCCCCATCCATTGCTCCGCTTCTGTTGGAGGTCCAGTAGCGAGACTCCGGATGATGCCCACACCTCGCCTCATCCTGTGCTCTGTGCCAGTGACTTCTTTCCTGATAGCAGACTCTTTAGCCAGTTGGGCATTGACCTTGGCCTGGTCGTCTGCGCTCAGCTTCTTGGCTTGGCCCTTCTTTTGTGCAAGCTGTGCTCGTAGCTCTTCTTCCCACTTCAGGGTATCGTAGTCTTTCGTGTTCTTATCGATTACCACAGGTGCTTTCTTCGAAAGAACGTCGATATACGCTGTGCCCTCTGGTGTACGGAAGATGGCTGCTTCGGTCGGTCCTACAGATTCCATCTGCTTTGGGTCGAGGTCTTCACTGAACTGCTTGACCACTGCCGGCAGAGCTGCCTCTGGCGCCACGAAAGCCATGTCGGTATAAGCGCTGTAGGCTGCTGTATCAATGGCGGGTAGTTTCTCATTGTCTTTGTTCTGTGTCGGACGTTAGCAATAGTTTCTCGAAAAGATTGATGGTTGAGCAATAATACCTCAGTTGCTTCGTTGATAGTGCTCACGAAGTCTTGCAAGTTATCCCGAACGACCTGGCCGGGATCTACACCCATGCGAAGGCATAGGTCAATCCAAGACACTCTTGGCATGATCTCTTTTCTTGCTAATACGACGAGACGCATGGCCTGCTTTTGCAGAGCCACAGTGTCCACACTTGCGTTCTCTTTCTTCAGTGTCTCTGCAGGCAGACATATGCAGCTCAATACAGCGCCAAGCTCAGCTGAACCTGCCTTGGATGCGAACGCAGCGCTCTCCTTGTCTTCTTGTTCACTTGACCTATACCACGACCACAATCCTTCTATGATGATGTTGCTGATCTTCTCAGGCGAGGTTTGGAGATATGCTTGTGTCAAAGCCTGCTTAGCAGCCGCCTTCGCCTTGGCGGAGACGCTGGGAGCGACGATGAGGAAGATGAACGCCTGTGCCCATGCATCTGCGACTTCTTTTGAAGCTTGTGTGACGTCTGGCGCGATGGCTTTCAAGGCGCGTAGTGCAATGGAAACGTCCTCTTCTGAGGACAACTTCGAATAGACTTTGGGGTTGAGAAGGATGGAAGGCTTTGGTTGGGTGGCGAGCGATTGCGAGATGACATCAGATTTCTTATAGATGGATCCCAGCTTCTCGTCCTTCATGTTCTGTACTCTATCGATGAGAAGCGCAACAGTGTAGTGTCCTACAGTGACCAATCCACTTTGGGTCGCAGGCAGTGGGTTTGCATTTACTTCCTGCCAAATCTCAATGAGCTTCGGCAGAGTTGTTTGGCAGAATGCAAGTACGTCGGGTTGAGCTTGCTGTTCATCGGAGAGATTCCACCAAAGGTCTGCTGCGCGTATTGCCCAAAGCTTCTTGACGGGTACGCGCTTATCGGCCATGCCCTTGATGAAGGCATCTGAGACGGTCTTGTCAAGAACAACTCCGTTCGCTAGGCCGAAATTCAGGTGGGTCGTTATTGCAGACACTTCAGCTACGACAGCCGGCTCACTCGGCTCTTTCAAGGCTACTGGAGCGATACCTGCTGGGATTTTCTTTGCCAGGGCTATTGAATCTGGCAGCGCTGAGAGCATCTGAGCATGAAGAACCTTCTGATCAGCACCGGAAACTTTGCCTTGCTTCAAAGGAGTAAGCACTTCGTCTGCGACCTTGTCAACCTTGGCATCATCTTTTGATCGCGAAGCCAACGCTTTGAAGGTTCGCAAAGCGCCTGCGCGAATGGCAGCATTGCTTGATTTGACATTGGAGAGCAGTGGCTTCAGCATGTTTCCTAGCAGAATATCGGACAGGTCCATAGATTCGGGGAGGGCCAAGAACATGGGTGAGACGATGTCGTTTAGTACTACTTCAGGTGCCCTCAGCAAGGCCTTTTCGATGGGTGGTATGACATCCTTTTGCAGCTCTTCCAGAGTGGGGAAGCTGTCGAAGAAATCGTGTAACGCATTGGAGATGTGGTCCGGCAGCTGGCTCCTTGATCCGACAATCTCTCGTGTGTAGTAGGTGTAGTAGTCTTGTTTGCGGCCTTCGAGCAGCGGCTTGACGGTCGGTAGACGGGATGAGACGCCAGCGATGACGCCGAGGAAGACAGCATTTCCAGCTGTGGGCGCGCTGCCCTTTGCGGCGAGGTTCGTGACGAGTTTGTCGAGGGCGTCTTTGCCAATTGCCTCAGAGCGGAAGATGGCGCGCAGGGCCCGGCGCGTCGAAACGAGGGCCGCTATGGAGAGGCGGCCAGCTCGCCGGTCGCCCCCAGCGCTCACGCACGTCTCGAGGACGCGCGCATTTGCCAGCGCCACATCCAGGCCGAGCTTGGCCCACCGTTCAGGCGACTTTGCAAACTGCAGCAGCAGCACGGAACACCAGTCGTTGAGCACAAAGGCATTGGCGTGCGCGATGGCCTTCTTGGAGCATTCCTGCGTCAAGAACTTGACCACCGGCGGCAGTACCTTGTCGCCATGGGGTCCGTTTACCAGCGACTTGAGGACGCCCTCGACCGCGCGGCGTGATTCGCGGTCGTCGTATAGCGGATATGTTTCGAAGAGGAGTTCGAGGAGCGCTTGCAGGTCGGCAGTGACGAGGGCTATAGCAAGATTGTTGAGTCAGCCAGCGTTCGCTTCCACGTGCAGTCCCCAGAGACACTCACAGTCGTCTGCGACCTTGGTCTGCAGCCCCGAGAGCTCGTTAACGCGGCGCTTGGTGGAGCTCGTTATGAGCTTCGGCCGCAGCTCGTCGCGGTGGATTGCCCGCGACTCAGCGTCCCCATTCACAGCCATGTCTATCAGTCCACATGTGAAGGCGGGTGCGGGGTGTTGGCGGGGTTGCGTGTCGGCGTCGATATCGCGAAATGCTGCGCCAAGAGTTCTCGTTTATTTGCTAGGGTAATGACATCGCCTCGCTCCTGCCTCCACAAGGTGTGGAGCGCCCTTCCACCACCAAACCCACTGGCCTGCGCCCTCGACCACCACCGACTGCCCCTCTTGGAACCGTTGCGCCCTATGCGTCCAATAAACTACGACAACTCGCCCAATCTTGATCTCGCCCGGGATCAAGCACCGATATACTCTATACGGAAGCCCGCCTGAGACCCCTGCACCTCACATTACCACCACTCAATCAAACTAAGAGTTTTTGCCATGGCGAAGAAAAAGAAGCCCGCCGGCAACCCCGCACGTGGATTCGCAACGACATCCGTTGCAAGTAAGCCAAAGCCTGAAAGAATTTCCCCAGATGTCCCAGCCAAGGTAGTCGCCCCGGTCCCGTCAAAGGAAGCGGCGGCTGCACCAGAGCCCACGGAGGCGCCCCAGACCCCCCAGCAGACCGAGGCGGTCAAGTCAGAAGTTGCGCCCACTCCAGAGGAACTCGAAGCCCAACTAGAGCGTGATGAACTCCAGCTGCTTGTTGAGAAGCATGCGCCCAAGGTCCGCCGCGAATCTAGTCGACATGTCTCCAAATTCCAGACAGACCGTAGGCTCCTCCGTGGCCAGTCGCACGCCATGACTGTTCACGACTGGCTTCCCAGCGAAATTCTTGACAGCATTATCCTCCTGGCCCAGGCCGAGTCGAATGACTCAAACAGGAGACAAGGGCAACAGTCCCTGCTTAAAACCCTGACTGAAGAGGATGCCATGTCTAAGCTTTGGACCCTTGATCTTACCCTACGTGAGCTAGGCTTCTCGCAAGACCAGATCCAGCCCGTTCTGAGATGGCTATGTGCCAACGCTGCCGGTGTCGATGCATCCTCTGGTGTATGGGGGCTTCAAGAAGCGCTGGAATGGCTTGCTTTGGACCAATGCGAGGATCACTCCTTTTCGTACGAAGAATCGCAGCCTAAGCGTTCGACACTTGAGGATGTTGACACTTCTCGGCCAACTACACCGCCGCCCCAGCCATCAGCGAACGGAGCAACCGCAACTGGACCCTCACCTTCCGAAGCAGCTCTCAATGCCTCGGTACCGGCGAATTCTGATGACTCTAACATAGACGTTAGTGACCTTGATAGCGACCTCGAACTCGATGAGCTCATTCCAGCGTATCTGAAGATCAAGGGCAAACTATTCGAGATTGATCCTCAACTGGTCGATGTCTCTGCACGGAAGTCGCAAAAAGGTGGAAAATCCAAGAAGTCGGCGCCTACGCCACCTCAGACTCCGGCTGTTCGGAAGTTACTTTCTCAGTTGCAACAACTAACCTCCGATGCCCTCTTTGACGAAGAGCAAGCTGAAGCGCAATGGCCCGCGAAGCGTAATCAGATTGCACAAAGTCAAGCCGAAAAGAGGCAACGTCAGGACACACAGCCCAATGATTCGCCCGTGCAGACCAAAGACACCACCCTCGATATTCCCGCGCCGGCCAAGGCTGAAGCTCCTGCCGCATCGTCAAAACCCACAAGCGAGCACGAAGGCGAAGAGGATGCTGATCTGCTCGGAGGCATGTTTTCCGCAGTGCCTGACGCAACGCCTGCCCCTGAGAGTACATCCAATGGTTCAAGTGCTGACAATCTAATCTTGCGCGACTTTGGCAAGATGAGCGGAATGTCCCCCCGCAAAGTGCTCGAAGAGGCAGTCCGATCAAGGTAGGTCATTCGACTACTTCTTCCGGCAATCACTAACAGGTCCAGGGACTCTGGTGCACGCTTGACTTATAAAATGATCTCGCCTACTACGTATACTTGCCGGCACTCGCTGACAATTTTCTGGTCTAAGGAACAAGACTTCGAGTACGACACGGAAATTTCCGGTGTGGTTTGTACTCCGTACAGGAAGCAGGTCACGCTGGCAGCGAACGAAATTGCTGCTGTATCCCTTGAGCAGAGTGAAAGCTTCATCTCGGCCGCGGCCCTCTTCTCAATCTCTGCTTCTCTGCTTAAGGAGGAAAAGGTATATCTGCGCCTTCCGTCGAACTGGAGAGAGGTCTACAGGGAGTTCTTGGAGCGTCGGAAAACACGCCTAGATGCGGCAGACCGTGATGCCATCAAGCACTATCGCTCAATCATTGAAGATCAGATCGAGAACGAAGAGTCGGACGGTGTGGTGCTTACGAATCGCTTCAAGGCGCGCAATCAGGCCGCGACAAGCTCCAGCACATCTAACTCTGGCTATAGCACACCGGTACGACACTACGACGGTCTAAGAGAGCAATGGTTCGCCAAAGCCTCAACTCCATCGTACCAGCGCATGCTCGTTGGTCGAATGAACCTCCCAGTCTTCAACTTCAGAGATGAGATTTTATCCACTGTGGACAAGAACCAGGTCACCATAATCTGCGGTGAGACTGGCTGCGGAAAGAGTACGCAAATTCCCGCCTTCGTCCTCGAGCACGAGCTATCGCAAGGCAAGGCATGCAAAGTCTACTGCACCGAGCCCCGACGTATCTCGGCGATTTCACTTGCCCAACGTGTGAGCGAAGAATTAGGCGAAGGACCCAAAGATCTAGGATCCATACGTTCACTTGTCGGATACGCGATTCGGCTTGAGTCAAAAACTTCCTCCCAGACTCGCTTGGTGTACGCGACGGTGGGTGTGGTGTTACGAATGCTAGAGTCATCTGGAGGTTTACAAGAGGTCACGCATCTGGTCATTGATGAGGTCCACGAACGATCCATCGACACCGATTTCCTTCTGGTCATACTTCGTTCACTCATGGAACGTCGACCTGAACTTAAGGTCATACTAATGAGTGCCACGGTAGATGCCGCACGCTTCTCAAGGTACCTGAACGACGCACCGATCCTGACAGTACCAGGTCGCACCTTCCCGGTTCAGACTCGATACCTGGAGGATGCGGTCGAGTTGACTCATTACGCTGGAGCATCAGACGCAACCAAAGCTGCCGCCACGAGTGACAACGACGAGGATGACGGGATCACGAGCGATAAATCCGGTATTCCCAACAAGCTTCCAGGTTACAGCCAACTAACACGCGATGTGCTCTCTAATTACGACGAGTATGCCATTGACTACGACCTGATCACACGATTGATCGAGACGGTCGCGTTTGATCCGCAACTGAGTCGCTTTAGCAGCGCTATCTTAGTCTTTCTCCCGGGACTTGCTGAGATTCGTCAGCTCAACGATATACTGGCTAGTCATCCTTCTTTCAAAGCTGACTGGTATGTGTACCCGCTACACTCCACCATCTCGAGTGAGGATCAGCAAGCTGCGTTCCTTGTTCCACCTCCGGGCGTACGCAAGATCGTGCTCGCTACCAACATCGCCGAAACCGGAGTCACGATCCCGGATATCACCTGTGTTGTCGACACCGGTAAGCACAAGGAGATGAGGTTTGACGAGCGCAGACAGCTATCACGTCTGACTCAATCCTTCATCTCAAGAGCGAACGCTAAACAACGCCGTGGTCGTGCCGGCCGTGTGCAGGAGGGCCTGTGCTTCCATCTCTTCACGAAATACCGCCACGACAGCCTCATGGCAGAACAGCAAACTCCCGAGATGCTCAGACTTTCACTCCAAGATTTGGTTATGCGCGTAAAGATTTGCAAACTTGGCGATATCGAGGCTACCCTGGCTCAAGCACTCGATCCGCCCTCTTCAAGGAACATCCGTCGCGCCATCGATGCACTTGTAGAGGTCGACGCGTTAACGCCGAGCGAAGAACTGACACCCCTTGGTCGCCAGATTGCGAAACTTCCGTTGGACGCGCACTTGGGCAAGCTTGTACTGCTTGCAAGTACGTTTGCATGTGTTGATGTTGCTATTACCATTGCTGCCATCGTCTCCTCGAAGTCTCCGTTCATGACACCATTTCAGCAAAAGCAAAGAGCTGACATCGCGCGCCTTGCGTTCAAGAAGGGCGACTCCGACCTCCTGACGACTTATAACGCCTACAGGGCTTGGAAAGCAGTATGCACTACCCCGGGACGGTCCGAGATGCAATTCTGCCACAAGAACTTCCTCAGTCCGCAAAACCTGGGCAACATCGAGGATCTCAAAGCGCAGCTCTTCTCATCATTGGTTGACGCCGGGTTCATACAGCTTACGCCCGACGAGCGTCGCGCGATAGGCCGCTACCGCAATACGACACGCCACCGCGTCTTCGTCGAAGTGCCAGCACAATACGACATCCACACCGACAACGACGTTCTAGTCAACTCAGTCATCGCCACAGCATTCTACCCCAAGATCCTGACCCGCGAAGGCAAGGGCTGGAGAAACATCTCAAACAACCAAACCGTCAGCCTCGGACCAACCTCCGTCAACAAAGGCTCGCGAACAGCCGACTTCCTATCCTACTACAACATCATGCAGTCCAGCAACAAGTTCTACAACGCGCACTCGACCTCAATCGCCTACCCACTTCCCATGGTACTCATGGTCGCTGCCGATATGGACTTCAAGCTCCATGCAGGCGTGATCAGTCTACCCGGCAACGTCATCCGCTTCGCAGTTCGTGAATGGCGGGCAGCTGTCGCGCTGAAGGTGCTGAGACGTCGTATCAAGGAGATTCTGGCGAATAGCTGGAAGAACCCTGCGCGGCAGTTGAGTGATCGCGAGAAGGAGTGGCTTGGCTTGTTCTATAAGATGTTTGAGGAGAGGTTTGAGAAGGACGAGAGGATTAGGGAGAGGGCTGGTGGGAAGGCGAAGTGAGGTGGCGGGTTTGGTTGGAATATATTAGATGGATCACTTGTAGATGTGGGTTGTTTTGGTGTTGTATGTGTTGGTGCTAAGCTATTGCTTGCATCACTATAAACCTACGGTTACAACGAATACAAGATCTATCAATACCACTAGCAATATGCGCCGCGTATTTTACAAGGTCGTCATAAGTGGAGAACGCGGTCACCATGGTTGACGTTGACATGTACGAGAAGACAAGGTACAGAATACAAACTACAGTAATAGAGGCTGGAGTGTACAAGAGGCCTATTTGTAGAGACCAAGATCTGACAAGACGACTATTGCAAAAGACGTTACCTGCCATTCTATACACCCTTGTCTCTAAGCCGCTCAAAGTCCTCAATCCTTCTTTTCGTCCACTCTTCTACCCGCCGTGTAAATATAACATCTCCAAATAAAAGCAAAATCTTTCCCCATGAAACAGGCGCTACTTTCTCCTTCGCTATATCGCGGAAAAGGGCCTGCGAAACCCACCACATCTGATTCATGGGGTTTCCGGGTCCATCCAACCCAAGAACTCTCGTTCGCTCTACTATCGCGACAACGAACCAACGCTCGGGAGCCCAGAGCGCCGCTTTGATGACGTGGAATAGCTGCCACAGGTCGGCGGTTAGGCTGTTCAAACAGCATTCGTGTACCTGGAGTACAACCGTGTCGTGCACTAGGATGTAGATAGCCATCGACCCACTGGCATGGAAGGTCGTAAGATCGGAAAGACGGCTTCTCAAACGGCATTCGTGGATAGAGTTTACGGCGGCGTCGTGCGCTGGATTGTACACGAACATGGAGCTGCGCGAATGTAGTGTCGCAACGGCGTCGTCTGTGAAGACTTGATGCAGAGGCTGTGTGCGGAGGGCTTCGCTGCGGAATAGACGGCTGGTGTAGTACACGGAGGGGAGCTTGGGTAGCCGTATTGTTGTGCGAGGAGCGGTGGATACTGAGGCGTCGCTGATATCGTTTGTTTTGCAGGATGATGGTGCATGTAGATGCAGTACCAATTCATCTTCACGTTGCGCCATATCCTCCTCTAGAGCGTAGTTTATGATCAAAACTTGTAGCTCTGCTGAAAGATCGGGGAAGCGGGTGAAGGTAGTTGGGGTGGTCATTTTTGCTTGTTGTGATCTCTTCCCCTCTTTCGGCTGAGTGATATTCCAAGTATCGTTCAATTCTGATTAATCCTTGGTTTTTGCGTGGCTTTTGCGTAGCTTTTTTGGGGTATGTGTGGTTTATTTGTGCGGTTGAGTGTGGATGTTAAGAGGTTTGCAGGACTGACAGACGAAAATTTCTTTATATACCTTTTTGATGCTTTAAGCTCAGCCCAAAGCACATCCGTGCACTACTGCTTGAAATTATTTATCATAACTATGCCATAGTTGTGGTTGGTCATAGAGTTGAGCTGCTACCACGTTCCCACACCCTTTGACTCACGTAGAAGCCAGTGAAAACCTCAGCAAGTTTCGGGACTTGTCTACCAAAACAACGCATCCTTAGTTGAGACCGTCGCATTGAGCAGTGACATGTCGCAATCCAAACATATTGCGGATAACCCTCCATCCACTTCATCAGCTGGTACGGCGATGACGCAGAGCGACGAGCCACTCACAACTTCCACAGCTCATAACTCTTCCATACACGCGAAGATATTCTCGAATGAGAAATGTATAACCGACAGGAACCTTGCAAGTAGAACTTGTAAGGCATCGAGAAGAATACGCGACTTTTCGACATAGAAAGTGGATCGTGGACCGAGCACCGCGCCCAAACTTTTACTACCTTTACCAATTCGCTGTCGCACCTTATGTAACCGAGTCACGAGTGCTACCATGTGACTTTCTCCGACTGATGCCGTCATACCGTATTGTCAGCCACGCGGCACAGTTGAACCCCTCTTCGTGCAACACAGCTGTTTCTCTTCCGCTTCTAGTAAACGCGCACGTTATCACCCCAAGTGCGCGCAAAGACTGTTCAAAGAGACTCGATAGCCCTTACTATACTTTGAGTAGTGCTGCGACACCCTTCACCTTGTCGCAACATGGTCAAAATCCCCGATAGCTTTACCCAGGCTATTCTGAAAGAGCAAGACAAGTACGAAGGCAGGTATCTCGACGATAATATCGTTTCCGGTAAGTAATTCAGCACTCCAAAGCAATGAGACCGAACGCTCACAGCCCCCTCCAGCATTACCAAAAGGCGCAAGCATAGACCTAGTCCGCACCATAGGCGCAACACACTGGTCGATACTAACCAAGATCGACACTACCATCTCCAGCAGACCACAGTCCTTCTTCCTGAAAGAATACCGCGACACAAACGCGAAACACATGGTCAAAGCCGAGTACGAGTCAACAGCTGCTTTGTACGCCGCGGTACCGAACCACGTGCCTCGACCATATGCATATGGTTGTTTCGCATCGGACTCGCAGCGCTTCTTCTATCTCCAGTCTTTCTGCGATATGGAAGATGCGCCTGTGTATGCGGACAAGGCCACAGCCGCATCTATGAAGCCGTTTGTCGAGGAGTTTGTTGGCGTACTGGCTGAAGTGCATAGTAATGAGTCGCCAACAGGGAAGTTTGGGTTTCATATCGACAGTAGGTATTTTGTTGTGCTGCGCGGATGGTACCTTGGATCTGACGCGAGATTGCAGCCTTCCAGGGAAACGTCGTTAATTACAACCGATGGTGCGATACTTGGGAAGAGTACTTCAGCCGCAACTTACGCTGTCTTATAGACCTGGAGCGTTCGATACATGGTGAAGATCCGGAAATGGATGCTCTATCCGCGGAGATTATGACGAAGGTAGTTCCTCGGCTTCTTCGTCCGATGGAAAGTGGTGGTAACAAGATCAAACCTGTACTGTTACACGGCGATATGTGGCATGGTAATGTCAGCATCGACACAAAGACGAGAAAGCCGATGTTATATGACGCGGGATGCTTTTTTGGGCATCATGAGTACGAAGCAGCACCGTGGCGCGCTACGAGATATGCTTTCAACAAAACGCATCTACACGCGTATCTTGAGATCGTCCCTGCATCGAAGCCGCAAGAGGACTACGACGACAGGAACGAACTCTACGCAGTGTGAGTGCTGCAATGTTCTGCAGCGCATGGTCACGCTAACGGACAAGTCGAAACAACCTTGTAGTCTCATGTTGCTGGAAACAGAACAAGACTACTCGACAGTTGTAAGTCACTAGCCTTACTCAGGTTTGGCGCATCGATTGACCAAATGTAGGGCGATTGAGGGGATGCGAAGCCTAATAACCAAGTTTCCAGATGGATACGAGGGGTATGTCGCTGCAAATCAGGCAAAGGGTAAGCGCGATTCTCGGAAGTTGAACGCGAAGTTGTAGAGGTGAGGTTATCACCTCACTTTCCCTCAGTTCTGTGCGCCATTCCTTGCATACATCCGTCTTGCTCACGTGCTTGCCGTTCATTGCGCCACGCCATACCTCTGAGTCGAATGAAGATTGTTGAGATGGCACTGAGTATACCAGAGATTGCGGCGAGAGCCGTGAAGAACCAGCCCTTGCCCATCACTTCCAGAAGAGGCTGCATGGCGGCAACAGCTGCTGCTGAAAGAGCGCATCGTGTGATGTTACCTGCTGCAGCGGCAGTGCTTGTGTTCTGCGGAGAAATGTCCACAATGAGGGTGTTGTGCGTCTGGAATGTTGTCAATACTGTTGCCGGTTGTACAGTGTGAAAGCAATTACCTGACAGATGCATGTAGCGAGAAATCCATGCACGAACAGGAAGATCAGTGGTACACTTATATGCTGCATAACCGTCAGTTTCCCAACCGTGTGGGTAGTGGAGGTGGCATACAATTTCTTCGCGCAAGACCCATCCATACCCCACAATGACTGCAGTCGATGTCGGGATCAGAAGCCACGACAACCGAGAGCGTGCCTTCTCGATGGGAAATTTGACCAGGTCGTCACCAGCGACCTTGTCGACCGTGATGTTATTCGCCTTGGCTGTAAAGCGGTAGTTGTAGTCCATTAGTTTCCCATTAATGTAACCACCAAGGATGACACCAGTCCCTATAGAAAAGTAGCATAGACCAACCTGGAGCTCATCGAGACCGTAGATTTCCGTGAAGATGGCGGGGATGGATGCTTGGATGCAGTAGTAAGCGGCGTAGTAGACGGCACTAATTGAAAGGACTGCAGCGGTGTCTCGGTGAAAACAAACCAGCAGAGCTTGGAAGGGGTTGGGTATGAGGCTTCTCTTCTTCCAAGCCCTCTGTACTGTACATGCTTCTAGCTGTTGCTGCCGGCTTGACTGCAACAAAGGCATGTTCCATTTGGGTGCTGGAATACTGCCGTTTCCCACGACTTTGCGCCCAGTCTCAGGGAAGATGAGGCTTAGAACGGCCAGAAAGGCAGCTCCAATAATGACTAGCAACCAGAACACCCATCTGTATCCAGTTCTTGATGCCATTACACCACCGACTAGAGGACCTATACTTGGACCGAGGTTTGTCGCAATCATTGCAGGCCCTAACATGCTTCCTCGAGTAGCTGGCGTTGCTACATCGGCAATGACTCCGTATCCGATGGCTACCGTTGCGGAGCAGCCGAAACTCTGGACGCCACGCAGGACCATCAGAGCAGCATAGTTCTGCTGAAGAGCGAGACCCAGGTTCGCGCAGACGTATATAGCGAAAGTGATTAGGTACACAGGTCGTCGTCCGAGATTGTCGGCCAAGTCTCCACAGAAGGCTGGTGCGATTGCTTGAACAATGAGGTATGTCGTGATGGTAAGGTTGATCAGGCTGGCATTGACGCCGACAGCGTGTTGGAGTTCTTCAAGACATGGAAAGTATATGTTGGCTGTAAATGGTGAGAAGAACATGCTGCATCCGATCAACCATGTAATCATGCGCCGCTCGGCCTTGGTGAAGACTGTGTATGGAACAGCTGTTTCTGTATTTGAAATAGCAATTTTTGCCTCGACTTCTGTCATGTTCGGCGCGTCTTCGTCTTTGGTGAGGATATGATCGTTGCTCAAATGATTCGGCTGGGTCTGCATCTTCTAAATCTGCGGAGTAAGGTCGAAACAGTGAAGCGTCGTTCTGAGCTAGCGTCAAAAAGCCTGCCTTCGGTTTGTCAGTGTAAAGTCTCAAGACTGATCTCTTTGCCTGATTTGATGGCGGTAGCCCTTGGTGGACAAGCAGGCCTCGCGCGTGATGTCGCGTGTTATGGCACATGCTGTCCAGTCATACAAGACGCATGCGCAGGTATACCCCGCCATAGCGGTGGTTGCGGCGTAGTCAGCACGCGTCTTGACTGTGATGCCGCGCGGAGGCCAGCGTCTGTCGCGAACGCGAGATGGTGGACGCGATGCGGACAGTGGCTGGGAGATGTCGCGTTCACGCTAGACGATCTAGCGTCCGACATCACGTTGCTGACGTTTGACACGCCATTTCAAAGTCAGCAGTAGCCCTTTCCCACGACAAACGATACTTCGTCCCGTACTCACGAATATCGTGCCTTTCTTATCAAGCAAAAATGGTTGATATATGCATACTCCAACCACGCCAGGTATGAGGACTTCAAATCACACAGCAGCGCCTTCTGTTTGAGACCACACTGCACAGGTCCATGTCATAAATATACATACAGTACACATGCTCTATACCTTGACCTCCTCCATCTTCGGCTTCTCAAACTCAGCCTTGCCATCTTTCACGGTGGCATACCGTATTGTGCCCGATGCATCTGTGTTGGGTATCGGTGCTTTTGTGCCTTCTCCTATTGACTTGATCTCCTCTTTGATCTTCCGTGTGGCAGCGTCCTCAACAGCGCCTGGTGGGCTGTCCGCGATCTCGTCAACGTTTCTTAAAGTAAGGACATCGCTGATTCGGGAAGCGCGGGACTGGATGAGCATGGTGGTTGGGCCTTCGAAACGGAGGAAGAGCTGTGTGAATTAGCATTTGTGACAAGTCTTTCGTTAGGCCTGTAGCTTACCCTGTCGCCCCAGACTGTTCTCCGCAGCCATGTCTTGAGAGTGTAATATGTGGTTGCCAGAGCCCGCCATGTGCCTGTCTTGCTCATGGTGCGGAAGAACTTGGTGTTCTGGACCATTGAGCCGAAGCCAAGGTCTGGCACTTGGAAGCGGAGGTTCGACGACTTGAATCTGAAAGGAATTGGCGGGGTGTTGGAGGCTGTGTACGCTACGACGTTGCTAAAATGCTGTTAGTATAAACTTCGGCGTATGTATTGTCTCAACATACCTAGGATGCGCGACATAGCTTTCGCCAGCCTTGACCTGGACCTGATATATTTGCCCGCTTCCTGCAAGCGCAAGTAACCCCCTGCCAGTAATGTATGTGTTTCCCCAGTGTGCCAGCCCCAACTTTACATTGTACTGCGGCTTCAACTTGAGAGTGTGGCCGGTCCATGCAAGCAACGCATTTCGTTGGCTAACAATCCAATCATCCCTTCCGTCCATGTTGACCGAGACGATACTCGATATGGGTGCCTTTGTGGAGACGAGAGCTGTGACGGGGCTCGTCGAAGACACTTTCTGGTAGAGGAAGGGGATGCCGACGGGGGCCCTCTGGAGGGGCTCGAGGAAGGAGAGGGTTGATAGCGTGTTTTCCGACTTTCCGCTGAGGCCGACGAGTGTGCCGCGGCGGGTGTAGAGCGTCTGTGAGGCGGAGAGGGAGACGGAGAGGAGGGAGAATGGGGTGCCAATGACTTCGAATCGGGCGTCTGACAATTTCTTTAGTCTTTTTGTGGTTTATTTGATTATATCGACTTCTTACCTGGTGTGTGCATGGGCGTCGCGGTGCCCTCAACACTGACTGCCTGCTGCAGCGCGGGCTCATTTGACGAGCTGGTAGCTGATATGTTGATGCATCGCGCAGCAACGGGCGTCCGCCGTATGGCAGCGGCGGATGTGGGCGAGAAGTTCCTCCAGGGCGAGGCAGCCGGTCGTAACATGGCTGTGCCGGGCAATTGGCGCGTGACGGGCGGCGAAGATGTTCTGGTCAAGCTCGGAGCAGCGATGATGCAAGAACGCCTCGCTTCAGCCCTGCCGCCCAAAACGCGCTAGACAACGTGGGATGCATGTCTCCAGGTACTCACAGCAAACACTCTTGTCATCTTGTCTCCTCCGCCATTGAAGCTCTCCACAGCTTCTATCTCCTGTGACAGCGGTGCAGAGACCTAACATGTGACATCGCCATGTTAATCCAACCACTCGCCCGCGCCGCCAGTCGGCCGGGTCTTCGATCGTCCAGTTTACGCCCGCATCCTCTCCACCACGGCATTCGCGTATTCACCTGCTCTCCGCTACACAGAAAGGATGCGCACGGTCAGCGGCCAAAGCCCGGCTCTAAGCTTGCCATCGAAGCGACCAAACCTGCTGCCGACCCCGCCGCGGCCAAAGTCGCAAAGACGGACCCATTGCTGCAGGAGCAGGTCCTGACCAACAAGGAGCAGCGCAAGGCTGACTGGGCCATTATGAAAGAGATGTCGGCATACCTGTGGCCAAAGGACAACATGGGCACGCGCTTCAGGGTCGGCATCAGTCTGGGCTTGCTGGTAGGCGCAAAGCTGCTGAACGTCCAAGTCCCCTTCTACTTCAAGAGCATTGTAGACGCCATGAACATAGACTTTGCGGCTGTTGGCGGCACGGCGACCACAGTGGCAGGCTCTATGATCATCGCATGTAAGCTAGACCCAACAATGCATCCCATGTCCACCCTGGCTGAGACTCCCTTCAGACGGAATGACTCGTATTGGCGCCACTGTTTCCCAAGAACTGCGCAATGCCGTCTTTGCCAGTGTCGCCCAGAAGGCTATTCGTAAAGTCGCTTGCAGTGTCTATGATCATTTGCTGAGGCTGGACCTGAGTTTCCATCTATCGAGACAAACAGGAGGCTTGACGCGCGCCATTGATCGAGGTACCAAGGGTATCAGCTTCTTATTGACTGCCATGGTCTTTCATATCTTCCCTACGGCACTAGAGATCTCGTTGGTTTGCGGAATTCTGACGTACCAATACGGCTGGCAATTCGCTCTCATCACAGGCACAACCATGACCGCCTACTCTGTCTTCACCATCATGACCACCTCCTGGCGCACCAAGTTCAGGAAGCAGGCAAACGCCGCAGACAACAAGGCTGCGACGGTCGCCGTCGACTCCATGATCAACTACGAGGCAGTGAAGTACTTTAACAACGAAAAGTACGAAGTCGGCCGCTACGACAAGGCTCTGAAAGACTACGAGAAGGCGTCCATCAAGGTCGCCACCTCCCTCGCCTTCCTCAACTCCGGTCAAAACATCATCTTCTCCTCCGCCCTTACCGCCATGATGTACCTCGCAGCCAACGGCGTAGCCACCGGTCAACTAACCGTCGGCGACCTCGTCATGGTCAACCAGCTCGTCTTCCAGCTCTCCGTCCCCCTCAACTTCCTCGGCTCCATGTACCGCGAACTCCGCCAAAGCCTCCTAGACATGGAAACACTATTCAACCTCCAAAAAGTCAACGTAGCCGTCAAAGACAAGCCCGACGCCAAGCCCCTCGCCCTCAAGACGGGAGAAATCAAATTCGAAAACGTATCCTTCGGCTACCGACCCGACCGACCCATCATCAAGAACCTCAACCTCACCATTCCTGCGGGCAAGAAAGTCGCCATTGTTGGTCCTAGCGGGTGCGGAAAGTCTACCATCCTAAGGCTTCTTTTCCGCTACTACGACGCACAGGAGGGGCGTATTCTGATTGATGGCCAGGATATTCGCGATGTTACGTTAGATAGCTTGAGGAGGGCTATTGGTGTCGTGCCACAAGACACCCCGCTCTTCAACAATACCATCCAGCACAACATCCACTACGGCAACCTAGAAGCGACACAGGAACAAGTCATCGAAGCGGCAAAGAAAGCGCGCATCGACGAGAGCATCAGCCGTTTCCCCGATGGATACGAAACCATGGTTGGTGAGCGCGGAATGATGATTTCAGGTGGTGAGAAGCAAAGACTAGCCATTGCGAGACTCGTCCTCAAGGACCCGCCGTTCTTGTTCTTCGATGAAGCTGTACGTCCTTATCCCTCCCTACCACTTCCCTCTTTCACCAATGACTAACATAACATCCCACACACAGACATCCGCCCTCGACACGCACACCGAGCAAGCCCTCCTCTCACACATCAACTCGCTCGTCAAAGAGAAGCGCCGCACGTCCGTTTTCGTCGCCCATCGTCTCCGCACGATTTACGACTCTGATGTTATCATCGTGTTGAGAGAGGGTAATGTGGCGGAGAGTGGAACGCATCAGTATCTTATTGATCGCGATGGTTTGTATAGTGAGCTTTGGAGTGCGCAGGAGACTATGTTTGTGGAAAAGGATGAGGAGGAAGAGGAAGGTGGAGAGAAAGATGGGGGCAAGAGGAATTAGATAGCGGTTGGGAGGTTTGGGGTAGTGTAGGATAGTCAGGTTTTTGTGAATGGTGGTTGTAAATACACGGGTTTCTTCGAGTCTTCGCGTGCGTCGAAGGTGCTGTTCATAAGGCGGATTTGAAGACTCAATTGGGCGTTCAAGTAACAGGAAATAGACCACAAGGTAGGCCGGGGTATCCGCAGTACGGAAAGGGTGAAGCGAACAATCAGAGTAATGACTTGGAGAAGCCATAGCCGTCCAAAGCCCGGGTGAAGAAGCGATGGTAACATGTCATTACTGTAATGGTCTCCAAAGTTCCACACCGAACACCCCGATAGACCATCCACCGTCCCTTCAATCCATTTTCGTAGGAAGCGACACCACCCTCTTAGTCTCCATACTCCCTTCCATATCCACATTCACACCCAACTTTTCCGCTACGGTAACGAACCCTTCACTCCCCTCTTTCAGATCAATCCACACATCAACCCACCCAGCCTCCCTCTCCTCCTTAACCTTCCCCTCACTCCAATCCTCCTCCTGTGCCCTCTCCACATACACAGTCCTCAACCCACACCCCTTCGCCGCCTTGAGATCATTCAAATGCGCAGCCACCATCGCACACTCCTCCGGCTTAAGCCCC